AACAATGTATTATACAGAAAAATATATAGTAATGATTGATTTTTAATGTAAAAATTGTATTGTGAAAATTGATGAGAAAACGTGCCTTAGTAATAGTGTAAAGTTCGAGAACTGAAAAAACCGTTTTTTTTTTTTTTTTTGGGACAACTTTTTTCATGGAATTAGGAAGCGAACCGTGAAAAATTGAAAATTTTAGATGCCATAAAAACTAGTTCAATGCGGTTCGATACATTTGAACACATTGTCTAATTCAAGAAACAAAGAAAAACTTCCATTGATATTGATTTTGTTCTACCACTTTGCTGGTTGATACATTTGCACAACAATTACTTGGATCCACAGTCTCCCAATATTTAACAGGAATTGTGGGCCAAAATCCAAAAAGTGCCCAGCATTTGCTTTTAACACAAATCTTTGTGAGATTTCAGTCTTACCTGGCTTCATTTGGATCCACGGATTTGAGGTTAACGGGTTTCGAACCTGAGATAATAACCCTTAACCTCCAATCCAAATGCAACACTAGGGAAATAAACTTGATTAATGCTGTTGGGCCGTTCGAAAAATGGTATCAGCAAATTCGCACTAGCATTTTGCAGTCTCGGAGATTTTAGGTGTTACACGAAAAACATTGGATAAGATTAATAAAGGCGCTTGAGGCCTTCCATTAAAGCATCTGTATGCTCAGGCTTTCCCACTGACACGCGAACGTAACCAGCTAATTCTTTGTTGCTGTAGTGACGAATCATCAATCCCATTTTCGCGAGGTCTTCCTGTTAAATAAAAGCTTTTATGGATCAGAAGAACGAAGAAAGGACCTTGACATGCCACTTTAACAATATTTTTCATGTTCTGGCTCCAAATTTATGGATCAGAAGAATGAGAGTAAATGCAAAAATCCGGGCTTTCACGATTTGAGATTATTTCAGCCAGAAGAAAAAAAAAAAGGAAGAGGACCTTCAATCACTCCATAGTGGGACCCTAGTATATTAGAACTAAGATGACCATTTAGAAGAGAAAAGCTGAAATGTGACTGTAACCAAAACTTCCATATATAGATAGAGAACAATGAAAACAAGTTTTTTCACCTTCAACTTCTTAGCATCTCTTCCGGATGTGACCTCACATAGAATGAAATTCGAGTAGCTTGGATACGGATTAAGGAATGGTACTTCTTTCAAAAGCTTGAAAAGCCTCTTTCGTTCTAGAACCAAAGCTTCTTTCACTTTCTGACATAAACCAAAGATAAATTAAGCATTAGTGTCTGCCGTATAGAGCAAAGAGCAGTAAATCTTCAGAAATATACAGTATTTATATTTCTATCCAAAACTTTTCCCTATCTTAACTCTAAACTATGCGGTTCATTTTACTTTTTACTTTGTCCCCTCAACAAATACAAAACCGAGAGACTATCTACTTTGACATGGCTCTGAGGAAAAGTGCAGAAAAGCGTAACTAAGGGGTTAAAGGGAAACAGAAAAAGAGGTTCAGAAGACAGCGCAGAAGACCACATAATTCAGGGGGCTTATTTTTATTATTTATCTTACATTTATGTCTGTATTCGTGTGTGTCTACAATTACAACGTTATTATGTAAGAGAATTCAAAGACGAAACAGATGTTGGCCCTGGTACCTCTAGATAGGCAGGATTCTCTAGTGCTGCACAAGCCGCAATTTCAGCAGCTACAGACACGTTATATGGTTGCTTAGCCCTCCATAGGTACTCGATAAGGCTCAATGGAAATGCTCCATATCCAACTCGAAGTCCCGCCAAAGCTGAATCAATTACAATATCGGTTGTCATCATCATATCAAGGTCATATTCATACCATCAACAATGGCTACTAGTGTTTTCTCAGCCGACAAAAAGGAAATAAAAACTCACGAAGTTGGTTAGACTTAGTATAAGATTATAAATCAAAATTAGAAGTCCATAACATAAAATATAATTGCCTTGGGGATCTTGGTGAGTGGGCATTTTACATGATAGGTCTTTCTATAGGAAATATATGACTGCTACTCAAAATATGCTCATATATGAAATTATTATTGTTCACTAAAGCAAGTCTTACAACCCCCTATATATGATAAGTTAGAGTGATCATATATATATTGCAAATGAGATTTCATGGTGGAGATTGTACAATTCAATGTCTAGCTAACCAATCATATATATAGAGCCTAGAACTACGAAGGAGAAGGGACGGTACCAGCTCTCTTGCTAAATGTCCGCAGCACAATAAGATTCTCATACTTCTTCACCCATTTCATCTTAGACTCGAGTCCCGCAAATTCAATATAAGCTTCATCCAGAACCACTAATATTGGAAGATTAAGTATCTTGATAAGTGTTTCATCGTCAATAATGCTGCCATTGGTAGTGACAAGCAATAGTTACAAAGTGGCATTGAGTAGGGGAAGTTAAAGTTAACAACAATCAGTTGAAACAGTTTACAAAAAAGCAATTGAACACTGAACACGAATAATTCTAATGTACAGACCATGGAAAAGTTTTGACCAGTTGTGGTATTCATCGAGATGTGGAAAGGCACTCGACAGTTTACTCGAGGCTGATATTTTGAATATTCAAAAGTCAGTACAAGTATTTTTCAACAAAAGCATTGTCTATTGTCCGGTACTTATATCGACATAAGTAAAGTTGCCTTCCGATATTAATTTATCATCCACTTGTCATGTACACAGCATATCAATAGTTAGTCAGTCAGAGTGTATTAGAACTATAATAGCAACCATAACTAAATGTTCTATAATAGTTCCTTACTAGAGCAGGTAATGTGCTTGGACCTTAGTTTCATTTTGGTAGGGTAATGTGTCGTGGCCTTTTGTGATTGTAATCACAAAATACATACCGTGCCTAAAAAAAAAAAAAAAGAAACGATAAATATCAACTATTCTACTCTCCCTCTCCCTAACTAGTTTGCACCTTCAAGCTAGATATATATATACATATAAGAGTATATGAACTTTATTTAAGTAGCACGATTTGTAAGATCATTTTGAACTTTAAGTTTCAAAAGAGGTGGGTTTTGGTTCGCAAGTTCAAGAATGATCAGGATTTGAGATAATAGTTGCTTCAGAAAATTTATTTTCTCTATTTTATGTAGGGAGTTACATTTTTGCTGCGTGCCGATTTTATGAGGCAAAGAAAAAACACAGTTCACCAAGAACTCCAGAAGATGGGCACTATAAAAGGATAAAGGCATATGATCCCAAGTGACCCGATGACCTGAATTCTGAACTATAAAAATTACACATTCACATCTAATAAACACCAAAAAATAATTTGCAAGGAATTGTTGGAGAGCTGGGTTGGGTGGGTGGGTAGGTGGATGAGGTCATTCAGCCTTTTGGTCACCAATAACCAGATAACCGAAGAAGTTGGCCATCAGTTTATATCAAACCTAGTAACATTCCATGGTTTTGTTCAAATTCTCTTCATCCACACAACAACAACAACAACAACAACAACAACAACAACAACAAAGCCTTTTAGTCCCAAACAAAGCCTTTTAGTCCCAAACAAGTAAAATTCTCTTCATCCACACAATTTTCAAAAATGGATAGAAACCTTCAATGGTCACTACCTAGAACTAGACCTGTTGTCGTCATTAAAAATTTATGACACCGAAAATGAAGTAAAATTTGGAAACAGAATACGTGAATCATGATGTACCAGGAGAAAAGATAAACAACCAAGGAGCGTATTCAAGTACTAAAAAGGTGGAAGAATTGACAGAAAGCAAAATCACCTTCCATCCGGATTATTAGGTGAAGTCAGGAATATACACTTAGGCTTCTCCCGCTCAACAACTTCAGTTATTCTATCCACATCCAAACTGAAGTCGGGCTTCCGAAGAACTGGCAAATAGGATAAGCTCCAAGTTATAGTAGCACTGTAAGGACATTAATAAAGAAAACTGCAGAATACTTGGCATCATATAAGATATCATAGTATGCTCAGAAGTCAGAACAACTGTGTATCATCAATATCTTTCCCAAACATTTGACTCAAATTTAGGTATAATTAGGAATATCCCTGACATTTAGCTTAATTAATAAAACTCGACTAACATTACAAAATTGCAAATATCCCCCAGAAGATGTGTTACAACAACTTCCCTGAGATTCAACAAATTCCCCTTTGTTGGTCAAATGCAAATTGGGGGGTTATTAAAATTTTAAGGATAGGGACTTTTGTTTTCCATTTTGTTATTAAGCTGAAATAAGAAACATTCCAGTAATTAATCCTCAAATAAGTTGACTTCCAAGAAAAAGCAGTATAGATTTAAGTCATTTGAGTGAAGTTATAAAAAGTAGCTATGAGAGGCGTCAAAATCAATGTCAAACCAGACCACCACAAGTATAAGATAAAAGATGGAAAAGCCTACCCTTGATAACAAGTGCCCCATTAACAGCAGCATCAAACTCATACATTGTAAAAGTCGGTGGACAATCAACAATTTTGTCACCGGGATCCAAAACACATCTGTATAGGGTCATTTAAACCGAAAAAACAGAAATAAGAACGATAACCACAAATCACATTTGAAACAGAAACATTCAGTGAGGAATATTTATTAACTACAAACCGCATTATCAAATCAATAAGCTCATCTGCTCCACAACCCGCAAGAATATATTCAGCTTCAAGACCAGAATCTTGAGCAAGTGCAGCTCGTAATCTACGGCTTTCAGGATCAGGATAGATATAAGGGAACTTCATGGAACCCAAGGCTTCAAATACCTACATGAAAGTTGTGGTTTTGACTGTAAGACGATGTAAAACTACAAGCTAAGGCCTGCTCAAGAAAAAAATGAAGATTTATACACATAGTATTGAATGAGTACTAACATAAGAAGAGTACAATCACTTTTAGTCATACCTCTGGCGGCGGACCATATGGATTTTCATTAGCATCTAATTTGATAATCTCTTCGGGCTTCCTACCAAGACGAGTAGACAACACCTGCACACATAACATTTACAATTAGAATTAATATCCAAGAAAATCATGAATCCATCTATTTTTGAACATGCAAAGAATCAAACTTTAGGTATCTTTTGAATGCACAAAGTAACCATTAGTGGGTTAATCATCAAGAGCTGTCAAAAATAACAAACAAAATAGCGAGTTTATTTTTGCCTATTAGTCTGCTGCAACTTATATTACAAGTGATAACATTAAGAAACAAAAAAAAAAAAAAAAAAAAAAAAAAAAAAAAAAAAAAAAACAGTGACACTTTCAAAGGAAATAACTTGAAAACAAGTGAGAGAGTTTCAATTCTAAGACAATTATGAAGGGACAATGCTTAACTGAGAAACCAAAATATCGATACGTGATGAAATATAGGAGGATGTTCCATTAATCTTCAGAAGAGCAGAAGAAAATGAAACACACACATGCATTATTTACCAAATGATATCAGTCTAAGAACCATTAGCTAAATTCTCTGAATAGCTGCACAGCATCATGTATGTCAAACATCCAACCGCACTACCATAACCCAAAAACAAGGACAAAAAGAAAGTTAAAAATGTGATTTCTTATCGGACACTCTGAGTGCGTTTCTATTTCACCCAATTCCCATTCATATTTCAATGAACTAACCTCGAAAGGTAGAATGGGCTGATAAGGGGACAGTTTGCGGAGATGAGGTCGAATAAACGAATCCCCTGACAACGCACCGCCGTGCTCCTGTTGGCTCTCCTCTTTCGCCGGCACGGCGGCGGCCGATGATGCCGGCGGGGTCATGAATGTAATTTGGCCCCGCCTGAAATTCCCTTGGAGTTTGCTGCTGGGATTGAGTTTTCGTCTGTCCAGGAAACAGGTTGAACTCTGAGAGAACAAATTGACCACGCCCATCTACCTTCAATCTCTCTCTCTCTCTCTCTCTCTCTCTCTCTCTCTCTCTCTCTCAGCTGCTGTGAAATCTAAAGTAAAGAAAACAAATGACGGTTGAAAATTGTTGATGCGTATATGAACCCTAAAACCATTTTGTTGCTACGGGGAGTTTTTAACAGAAGAATACCCCAAGAAAGTAACGAAAACCAGTCGTTACCGCACAAAATAGAAATGGAAATGTGTGTGATGATAGTATCCACGATGTTTTGTAGTTGGTTAATAATATTCATATATGTGTTATAAATATATTAATATGAACATTACTAATATATAATTGAGCCTGAAGTCCATTAGTTAGTAGTATTAGGTTTTAGGGTTTCTCCCTTTGTAAACTCTATAAAAGAGTGAATACCGATGAATAAAATTATAGACTTTTCTGCTTCTTTTTCTTGTTCTTTACTACACATCTTTTATGCTTGGTTGATTGATGGATGCTTGGTGAAGATTAAGAATTCCAATTTACAACACGTTATCAGCACACTCTAGTTCGTTATTGGTGTTTGCCCTAGGAAAAAATCGTGTTTTTCCTGCAAGATTTTGACAATGTCTGATATCACCAAAAGAGAATTTGCTGAGCTCGCCCTTGATGGGAGTAATTACTTAACCTGGGCTCTTGACGTTGAGATTCACTTAGCCTCATTTGACTTAAGTGGCACAATTGATTCTAAATCTCAAAGCACTCTCGCCCAGAAAGCGAAAGCATTGATTTTTCTCCGTCACCATCTAAATAAAGATCTGAAAAATGAATACCTCACCGAAAAAGATCCCGCCAATCTTTGGAAATCCCTGAAGGATCGCTTTGACCAACAAACGGCCATAATTCTCCCTCAAGCTCAGTATGACTGGCTTAATATTTGGTTTCAGGACTTTAAATCCGTCACTGAATATAATTCGGCCCTACATCGTATTGTTTCACAGCTGAAACTCTGTAAGCAGCACATTACAGAGGCCGAGTTGCTTGAAAAAACATTATCAACTTTTCATGCTAGTAACCTTGTCCTCCAGCAGCAGTACATGGCTAAAAATATGCAACACACTCTGAGCTGATATCGGCCTTACTTGTGGCCGAAAAACACAATCAATTGTTGATGAAAAATCATAATGCAAGGCCTGTTGGAACTCAAGCTGTGCCTGAAGCACATGCGACTACTCACGGGCATCATAATGTGCGAGGGAGAGGTCGAGGATATCATACCCAGCCACCCCGTGGTGGTCGTGGTCGTGGTCGCGGTCGCGGTCGTAGTCATGTCTGGACTCGAGGTGGAGG